AATTACTACTGAAATAAGAGAGGACAAATTTTATTTGATATATTGCTACTTAATTTAGTCTTAAATGCAGACATAAGTAATATTGTCATCATACCACACGCAGGGACGGACTGACCAACTAACTGCATGTTACTGGTGGTATTACGGGGTAAACAGATATCCACAGCTGGGTTACCTGTGGTGGCAAGCATGGAAAAGTTGCAGAAATACATACCTCATGAGTGTGAGTCTTTGTGTTCAACATTGTCCTAAAACTGAGGCTCATGACAACCTAAAGAAAGAGAAAAAACAAACAATAACTGTAGAGAGGATGGATGAGCTGGTGTTCACTAGTGACGGAGTTGAAGTCATAATCATAGTTGGAGTCATAAGAGAGGTCACAACGAAGTGAAAATTAAAAATTGGAGTTGTAAGCAGTCATGAACTCGCCAGAATTGGAGTCAGAAGAATCAGAAAATTTTAATTTCTTGCAATTTGTCTATGCCTCTGTCGCTTATAATCCAGTGAAAACTAGATTTTTAGAGTCAGAAGCAGAAGCAGAAGAACCAACCATTCACAAGGCCCTGAATTGAACATTGTGACTGGTATATTCTTCTGCTTCTGTTTCCGACTCCAACAATCTAGTTTTCACTGGATCATAAGTGACTGAGACGTAAACAGAATGGGCGTTCGGCACCTGACTCCATTGGTTTGATTTTCACTAGTTTGTATCACTCTATACTTTTGATTATGACTCCAACTACAAATCTGTTGCTAACGAAAACCTGCCTTAAAAGGTTATTACACTGGATGTTAAAGACATCCTTAGATGCTAACCAGTGTACCTGTGTCGAGTAACACAAAAATGTTAGTGCTTCTCTCGACCCAGGACTATAAATTACAAATTGTCAAGGCAGCCTGTCATTCCACAGGCAGGCTAAGGGAAATACAAAAACTCCTAAGAAAAACATACAGTAGAAATGGCCTGCTTGTGATAACTTGACAATTTTCTCTGCCCTCTATAACTAGAACAGACTTGGCATTCACAACATACAAAATCTGAAAAAAAAAAGATGCAGGAATGTGAAGTGATTACTAAACTTACCATGGGTGGTGGAGGATCTTGTTCACTTGCCACTTCAAGGTGATCAGGTTTTGAGACAACAGCCTGCAGGAAAATGCTTGACACTTTAAAAACTTAGCACAGATATGTTTGCCAAACTGTACAAAAGAAGAACACTAACCTCTACTTTACACCAACTGACTGGATGTTGAGGAAGTTCTTGAGAGAAAAAAAAGACATTAAAATGAAATTAATCCTTGGAGTAAATATCTCATTTGCTAAGATCAGCATCTTGCTTCTCTTAACATTGACAGTACATTCTCAAGTAGACTGGTTATGAGAATAAAGAACATCATCATACTCACGAGGAAACTTGATAGTGAGCCAACAAGGACCTTTCATCTTACGACTAAGGAGAAGGAGCTCAAGACTGCAACCAAAAAGAAGAACATTTCAAATTTTCCTTTTAAGCTGGAAGGCCTTTTCTTTCAAATCAGAGGCTGAGATTCTTACCTAGATGTGTTAGTGCCAAACACATGGCTGAAAGTCTCTCCAGACAAGTCAGATGGTAACTGGGGAGAATCCGCCTGCCAAGAGATAGTGAGAATGATAATGAAAAATGAGACAATCTATAAAGGGTTGATGCTTACAGACCTTACAGTGTAAATGTAAGTTGATTATGAACAGTTGAACCCTGCTATTTTCAACTCTAGAAAGAAACAAAATATAGTTCAAAATAGTGGGAGTTCGCAATAACCAATAGCAAATGACTGAAGGGCAAATCCGAGGAAAATGGTTTTGACTTTGAAATACTGGGGAATTTGGAATAGGCGAGTTCAAATTAGCAGGGTCCAAATGTAATTG